GCCACATTTTTTTCCCACTAAGCAGCTTGTTGGCTTTGATTAGCTTTCAAGTGTGTACTTTGCGCCTCCAGGCTCCTCATGAATGACAATCCATACCCAAACCAAACCTGCTGCAGTTGAACAGGTTCCAATTAATAGTGACCTTATAAGGCAAACAAAAACCCCCCCCCCCCCCCCCCCAACAGTTTTCAAGGCTGTAATCCACGGAAGTTAACTGCCATCTTTCTCTTGCGGAGCAGCAGGTAGGTTCAAACAACTGGCTTTTTACTTAGCTGTAGTGTGCTTAATTAACCACTGTACCATATGGCTTCTTGTTGTTAAGTGCTGTTAAGTTGGTTCCAACACATAGCAACCTTGTTTAGGGTTTCTGAGGAGCGCGAATGGTGAGTTTGAAGCACTGACATTGCAGTTAGTAGGTCAGAGCTAATCCTGTAGCGTCACACCAGGGCTAAATGCTATAGAGTCAGTTCTGACTCATAGTTATCCATTATAGGGTTTCTAAGGCTGTACACCTTTGAGGAAGCAGAAATCCTCATCTTCTCCCCACAGAAAGGCTGGTGAGCTCAAACTGCTGACCTTGTCCACTGAGCTCTCACACCAGGGCTAGTGATCTAATCATACCAGGTCACTTTTATTGACATCAAAGTGTTTTGCATACACTCACTAGGAAAAGAGTACAATTAGCATTCCACATGTCTTGCTTCCTTGCTTGCTTAAAGTGAAGAGAGCTTAAAACATTTATTGATGAAGATCAAAGAGCATAGCCTTCGGTATGGATTACATTTCAATATAAAAAAAACAAAAATCCTCACCACTGGACCAATAAACAACATTCTTATCAATGGAGAAAAGATTGAAGTTGCCAAGGACTTCATTCTTCTTGGATGAACTATGAACACTCACTGAAGCAGCAGTCAAGAAATCAAACAACATATTGCATTAGGCAAATCTGCTACACAGGAACTTTTTAGAATGTTAAAGAGCAAAGATGTCAACTTGAGGACTAAGGTGTGTCTGATCCAAGCCATGGTATTTTCAATAACCTCATATGCATGCAAAAGCTGGACAGTGAATAAGGAAGACCTTAGAAGAATTGATGCATTTGAGTTATAGTGTTGGAGGAGAATATTGAAAGTGCCATGGGCTGTCAAAAGAACCAATAGATCCGTTTTGGAAGAAGTGCAGCCAGAGTGCTCCTTGGAGGCCAAGATGGCCAAACTTAGTCTCTCCATACTTCGGACATATTGTCAGGAGGGACCAGTTGCTGGATAAGCATATCATGTTTAGTAAGGTGGAGGACCAGAGAAAAAGAGGAAGACCCCCAACGAGATGGATTGGCCAAGTGGCAGCATCGAAGGACTCAAGTGTGGCAACAGTAGTGAGGTTGGCCCAGGATCGGACAGTGTTTCGTTCTTTTGTGCATAAGTTGGTACCAACTTGATGGCACCTAACAACAAAGAGTTATCTAGTTGAAAATATTAAAATTATTTTGGTTAGCAAGTGGCTCAAATTGACTGAAACAAAAATTGCTGGACTAACACAATCAGCAGATGGTTTAGAACTGCATGTTATCTCAATTACAACAAACAGCATTCCTAACCTGAGCCACTTGTTTCACAAAGTCCTATGTCTGATCTTATTATAAACCTAATGGAAGAAAATACAAAATTTGGTGACAATGGACTATTCCTTGAAAATACAATAAGATTAAGAATATATGCTATAAGGATTAATCAAAATCTAATTGATTCTGAGCTACATTTTTAAAATAGTATTCTTTAATATGGAGTCCCAGTGTGTAGGATAAGCACAAGTCAGCAGTTCAAACCTACCTGCCACTCCTCAGAAATCCTATACAGGGTCCCTAATATTCAGAATCTATCCATGGCACTTAACATCAACAACAATTTCTGAAAACACTGTTACAAAAAAATTAAGACCTGTAACTTATGTTTAATAAAAGGAATAGTGACTACTTTGGATTTATGTTTTTTGTTGATTTTAAAGACATTTCTAGGACATTAAAAAGAGTAAGATTAAATTACATTATCTGCAGGAACTAACTTTCAAGTACCTAGCAGAAAACGTGGAATACCTGAGTGATGCAGCATATAAGTGATCAACTACTAACTGAAATGGTGGCATTTTGATTCAACTCAAAAGTGCCTTAGGAGTCTTGAAAATGCATTTCTAAAATAATCAGTAACTGAAAACTCTATGGAGTAGAGATCTATCCTGACACACATGGATTTGAATAAATGGCACTGGTTTAGTAGAAAACTGCTAAGGAACAAAATAAGTCATTGATATGGCTCTGATCGCATTGTAGAATTTTTCAAGACCATGACTTCTTCATTGCAAATACCTTTTTTAAACAAAATAAAAGACGACTATACAAGGAGCTCTGGTAGTTTAGTGGTTATGAATTGGGCTGCGAACCACAAGGTCAGCAGTTCAAAACTACCAGCTGTTCTGTGGAAGATGAGGCTTTCTGCTCCCATAAAGATTTACAGCCTCAGAAACCCTGTACAGGGTTGCTAAGAGTCAGAACTGACTCCACGGCACATAACAACAACAACAATACATGTTGACCTCACCAGATGGAATACACAGAAATCAAATTAACTATATCTGTGAAAAGAAATAGTGGAAAAGCTCCCATCATTAGCCAAAAGAGGGCCAACAGCATACCTGAACAGATCACCAATTCCTTATATCAAGTTCAGGCTGAAGCTAAAGAAAATTAAAACAAGTTGATAGGAGCCAAAATATGATGTTGAACATATTTCACCTGAATTTAGAGATCATTTAAAAAACAGATTTGATGCATTAGACACAAAGACTGAAGACCAGAAGAGTTTTGGGATGACATCAAAAACTTCATATAAGAAAAAGCAAAAGAATACAAGAAAGAAGAAAAAGGCTGAATGGATGTCAGAAGACTCAGAAATTAGCTCTCAAGCATAGAGATGCTAAAACAAATAGAAAAACTGAGATAAAATAGCTGCATATAAGATTTAAAGGGCAACTTGAGAAGATAAAACCAAGTATTATAGTGAAATACACAAAAATGTTAAATCAGAAAACTGAAAGGGAAGAACGTGTTTAGTATTTCTAAAGCTGAAAGAACTGAGGAAAATATTCAAACCTTAACTTGTAAAACTGAAGGATTCTGTGGGCAAAATACTGAAAGATCCAGAGAGCCACAAAAGAGATGGAAGGAATACACAGTCACTGTATAAGAGCTGGACAGAAAATTTCAAAGGTCAGCTTGAGAAGATAAAGCCAAATATTATAACAAAATGTGCAGAGACCTGGAGTTAGAAAACCTAAACGGAAGAGCAGGCTCAGCATTTCTCAAGCTGAGGGAACTGAAAAAAAATTTTAAGCTTCAACTTGTGGCTTTGAAGGAGTCTCTGGGCAAGTTTGAAGGAATACACAGAGATGCTATACCAAAAAGAAATGGTCAATGTTCAACCATTTCAAGAGATAGCAATATGATCAAGAGCCAATGATACTGAAGGAAGAAGTCCTAGGTGCACTGAAGGCACTGGAAAAGAACAAAGCTCTGGCAATTAATGGAATACAAACTGAGATCTTTCAACAAACTAAGACAGCAATGAAGGCAATCACTCATCTATACCAAGAAATTTGGAAGACAGCTACTTGGCCATCTGACTGGAAGAGATACATATTTGTGCCCTTTCCAAAGAAAGATGACCTGAAAGAGAGCAGAAACCATCAGACAATATAATTAATATTACATGCAGGTAAAATTTTTCTAAAGATAATTTAAAAATGGCTGCAACAGTTCTTTGACAGGAAACTTCCAGAGGTTCAAGCAGGATTCAGCTAAGGAAATGGAATTAAGGATATTATTGCTGATGTCTGATGGATTTTGGCTGAAAGCAGAGAATACCAGAAAGATGTTTACCTGAGCTTCACTGACTAAGCAAAGGATTTTGATTGTGCAGATCATAACAAGCTATGGACAATCTTTCAGAGAATGAGTATTCCAGAACACTTAATTGTGCTCATGAGAAACCTGTACATGGACCATGATGCAGTAATTCAAATAGAACAAGGGAATATTGAATGGTTTAAAATTAGGAACTGTGTGCATCAGGGTTGCATTCTTTCATCATACTTATTCAGTCTGTATGTTGAGCAAATAATTTGAGAAGCTAGATTATATGAATAAAAATGTGGCATCATGATTGGTGGAAGACTCATTGACAACCCGCATATGCAGATGATACAACCTTGCTTGCTGAAAGCAAAGAGGACTTAAAATACTTACTGATTAAGATCAAAGACCACGACCTTCAGCATGGGTTGCACCCTAATGTAAAGAAAATTAAAATCCTCACCGCCGGACTAAAGATTGAAGTTTCCAAAGACTCCATTTTGCTCAGATCAATCATCAACACTCAGGGAAATGTAGTTAAGAAATCAAAAGATGTATTCCATTAGGCAAATCTGCTGCACAAGACCTCTTTAAAGTGTTCAAGAGCAGAGATGTCAGTTTGAGGACTAAGGTGCTCCTGAACCAAGCCATGGTATTTTCAGTAGCCTTATATACATATGAAAATTGGACTGTGAATAAAAAAGACCACAGAACTCATGGATTTGAGTTATGATGTTGGAGGATAATATTAAAAGTACAATGGATTGCCAAAAGACAAACAAATCTCTGAAAGGTAGGGCCAGAATGTTCCTTAAAAGCCAGAATGGCTAGACTTCATCTCTCATACTTTGGACTTATTATCAAGTGGGACCAGTCCTTGGAGAAGGACATTGTGCTTGAAAAATGGAAGGTCAGTGAGAAAGAGGAAGTCTATGGATTGGGCTCAAGTGTAGCAATGATTGTAAAGTTGGTGCAGCATTGGGCAGTGTTTTGTTCTGTTGTATACAGGGTCACTGTGAGTCAGTACAAACTCGATGGCACCTAACAGCAAAATAAACAATATATGGCTCTGAAACCTTATAACCAATCTTACCCATCCTTTGCTCTGTTCGTCTTGGTGATGGGTTGCGGGCATTCTGAAGGACATCCAAAGCAACTGCATTATCAGCATATGCACTTAAGCTATGGTCTGGGATCCATTCTCTGTCTCCTGAAGTGGGAAAATGAGGAAACAACATAAAGTTTTAAGAGGGGGGAAACCTATGTTGTTGCTTTATTATAATTGTCATGTTGCTAGACAATATTTAACAGAAGAAGGAGTGTTTCTACTAATCAAATGTAACTTATACTATGAAATACAAAAACTCATTATTATATAATAAAAAACAATAGGTTCACATAGATTAATCACAAATTAAAAAACAAATCTAAGTTGCAAAGAGACTACACAAATCTATGTCAAATAGAAATATTAAATATATATATATAGCATGAGGTTTAATTGCACATGAAGTTTAATGCACAAATATTTTTTTAAATATTTGTATATGAATAAATGCATTTGAACACACAGGAAACCGGTGATCAACAACATGAAGATCTTGCTTTCAAAAGGAAATTACTAACATGTCCTTGATATTTCAAAGGACCTCAAATTCTGAGACTTGTTTTTTAATAGGTATTAAGAACCATTATGTCAGCAGTTCAAATCTACAAGCTGCTCCATGGTAGAAAGGGAGGCTTTTTGCTCCCATATAGATTTATAGCCTAGGAAACCCTATATATGGTAATGATGAGTCAGAACCAACTCGGAAGCACACCACCACCACCACCATATACTATTTAAGCAAGATGGACTGGAAAAGTGGCAGCATCAATGGGCTCACTTGTGAGGTTGGCCCAGGACCAGGCAGTGTTTCATTCTGCATAGGGTCGCTATGAGTCGGTTCCAACTTGATGGCACCTAACAACAACAACAACAAGAACAAAGTAATTGAAGGGGTCTTATTTTACAATTTAATTATAAGCACATTTTCAAATTCTAAAATTAATCTCTCCCTTGTTTCAGTATAGCTAAGCTTCTCATATTTGAGAGTAACATTTAATATAAATATATAGCAACTCAAACAGGGTTAATAATTTCTACTGGATGAGAATAAAATTATTTTATTCATAGAACACAATTACCCAGTGTTTCCTAGAAAAAAAATGAAATATAAAATTAATAAATTGGCTTATAAGAAAATTAATAAATTGCTTTATAGGTTGTCTGGTTTCATATCAGAGTTTACCTGCAAGTGTGATCTTAGTACTGGAAGAGCTGCATTCTAAGTTCTGTGAAGGAAGTAATTTTAGTCTATCACTTTTATCCAAAATAAAGAATTTCTCAAGTCCTCGATAATGGTCAGTTATAGGCTTACTTCTTAGGGCTATTTCCTGTAACAACTGGGAAATAAAATATTCAACAAAATTAAGTTTATCTTCTCTCTCAACAACTCAAGGAAGCATATTTATTCACTGAGCACCATTATGTACTTGGAATAAATTCTGTCCTGATCAAGTTTATGCTCTAGTAGTGAAGACATAAATAATAACATCCATACATAGTAAATTCTGAAAAACACATAAATAAACCACAGTGAGGCATCAGCAAGCCATAAGGAGGACATAAGCTTATAGGGCAGTTTACTTTCTTCTTCTTCTACTTGCATTCTTCCCAAAAGTGTCTTTGCACAAAAATTATCTTGAAATAGAGAATCTCATTCATATACTGTGACTTTGAACTAAGGACTTTGTCTATACATATAATAATTTAAAAGATGAAAGTAAAATATCAAAGAGAATAAATCTGAGCTGTCAATGATGTAGACAAAGTTTAAGTTAATAAAACACTCATTATGGAGCAAATACACAGGTAAAAATGGAAGCAATTATAATTAATTTATGAAATTTATATAGCTGAGAAGTTTACACAGGTGGATAGTAGACTTAGATTTTGAATATAGAGCTGACCAATTTGAAGTCCAGGTTTATTCTACCACCCTATGAATTAACTTTCTATATGCTTTTATTCTTGAGAATACACCTGGGATTGAAAAAACATAAATGTAGTATAAAACAGATTAGGGGTTGAGAGAGAGAGTTCTCAACCAGATTCAAAATTAATGAGAGGAGTTATCAGTATTTTCACAATTTTCAATTAATATGAGTTTATTTTATTAATTACAATTAATGTAATGCAATGAATAAAATAAACTGTCTCACAGGATTAATAACACAAAGAAAAATGTTACAACTCTGTAGAAAATTATTAATCAGATAAATGAGAAGCTATGTCAATATGAAGCTGGTGATCAATAAAGCATGTCCTTCAATGACAAGTCCAAGACTACTTCTCAGGACATCCACCTTGGTTCTCCTTGGGCTTGTTAAACAAATTACAGAATCTGTGCAGTCTAGTAGAGTTTACACTTGGACTACATCATTGCAAGTCTAGGAGAATTTTTTAATGCCTCGGTTTATAAACAAGGAAACTGAGAGTAGCTATGTCTTTTCCTCCCACCCCTGTAAACACACAAAATTAACTATTAGTTATTTGACAATAAGAAACAAATACCCTTGACTAGTCCCAGTACCTTATTATATGTCTTTCTTGTTGCCCTACAACTTAATACTTAAGTCCATAAGAGGTCCCACCTTAATGAACAAATCAACTTCTCAAAACAAAACAAAAAATGAAGTACAAAATGAACTGCCTTACACTCGGTTTGGATGTTAACAAAATGCCACTAGTGAAAAAATTGCTCATCTACTCACTAAGTAGTTTCTGTTCAGGGATTGGAGGAGAATAAAAACAATTGATGCTAGTCATTAGGAACATAAAGAAAGATTCTACCACTTAACTATCCAAAAGAAGGATTCAGTCTGCAAACTAAAACAACAATTTATTTTAATAGCTTCTTTAGGACTTCTTGTAGACTTCCCTGTTAGTCCTTTTTATTTTGCAGTCTCTCAAATTCTCTCTAGCTGTGACCTAACAACTTCATTCTGTAGTTTAACAGATTAGACACCCATGGAAGACGCTCAGGGAGAATCTTCGCCACTCAATTTAAATTTTATTACAAGTAGTGGAGCTCAATTTCTGTGAAACTATTTATGCTTTATTTTTAAATCTCAGATATAATTGCCTTTAAATGGGTCAAAATACAGTTGCAAAATATAGTTATAAAAATGGCGCTCCTCAAGTTAGAAGCCCATTAGTCTGTGGAAGATTCTTTTAGAATCCTATGACAGATTCATCTGGATGAAAAATACTAAAAAATTCTAGTAGACCTCAAATACATTTGCTGATGGTATTTCTATAAATTTTAGTAATTACTTTTTAAATACATAATTTATACAAAGCACTTGTCACTTTTCACAAAAGCATATTTTTTTAGAATATAAAGAATCAAAATGTGTTTATTAGCATTCAAAACTTCATTTTCAGTTATGAAATGCTTTATAAAAATAATATATCACATAACTTTATTATACAGCTTAATATTAATATAAAATATTTCAGATGTCTATACCAAAAAAGGACATTGAGTAGTCTTTATGAATTGTTGTTGTTAAGTACCATTATGTTGGCACTTATTCTTGAACTGAAGTTAGCACACAGTATTCTCAATGCATGGATTTTACTATTACAACTTTATAGTTCATCCATTAAAAAAAGTTACAATTATCTTAAGAATCTGCAAAATAGTATCTAATTATACTCTATATATCTTTCTACATTTTGTTTTTAATATCGGTTTTAATAGATAGCCATAATAAAAGTTGTTCAATTTCATTTATTTTAATTCTTATATTGTTCTCAATTTTATGAATTACCACAGATTTGTGAGTTGAAAACAAATACCTTTATTAAATTGAGAAAGAAAACTCTCATAGTCTACTAAAAGCTTTTAATTTATCAAATAATCTAGCCACATCTACTGAACTATTGGCTTCTTGAGATAAAGCTATGTGAGTCCATTTATAATTTCCTTTATTATTGTTTCCTGAATCTGAAACTTTTCTGGATAATTTTTAATTTGCGACAATTTTGCTATCCCATTATAACTGTATTACAATGTGTTTGGAATATGTACAGTGTGTGATATTTAACAAACCTTAAAACTTCCATTGTTCAGTGTAAAGTTGATTTTGATAAATGGTATATGTATTCTTGAAAAGAACATGCATTCTTTAATTGGTATATATGTAGTCTAGAATATGTCCTTCAAGTTTATTTGTGTCAAATCTTCTCTTTTTTTTTCTAATTATAAATCCATTAGGTAGATGGCTCTGTTGGTAATACCACGTAGTTTTGTTCACTTTTGCTATATATGTCTAAGGCTTTTAGGTAGGAATTCTGGAGACTCTATAGGTAGGTAGATACAAATTAAAGTTTTAATATCTTAATGGTAAATATTTCCTTTTATTATTTATAATGGCAGTCTTTATCCCTGACAATGTTTTGCTTCACTAAACATGTATATAAATTTTAGCTTTTGTCATTACCCTCATGTGTTTTAATACTTAAAGTAGGTTTCTTATAAAGAACACTTTGATGGATTTTATTTTAAATCCAAATTGGAGTCTGTTTCTAACTACAAACTATAATCTGCTCACATTTATTCTACTTACTGGATTTATTTTTCTCAACTTTTACTCTTTCCACTTACTATCCAGAGCAATAAAGGGTCTCAGATTTTTACTTTACTTGAGAGCCCACTGCAATTTCATAGATGCTGGAAGAAGACATGAAACTTCTTTATCTGAGAAAAAGGGACTTAATTTTCACAGTAATAAAAATAGCCAGAGTATCAACATTTGCTTCAGTTTCCACAAACCAATTTCTACAGAACATCATGGAGAGGGCTAAGTATCACCTATACACGCAGTAGGCTGTCTTATAAAAGAAACCTAAGCTTAATACCAAAACCAAATATATTGCTGTTGATTTGATTCTGACTCATAGCAACATTATAAGACTGGGTAGAAATGCCCCGATAGCCTTTTCAAGGCTATAAATCTTTACAGGCACAGAATGCCACATCTTTCTTCCATGGTAGATTGAAACCACCAACTTTTGGGTTAGCAGCTGAGTGCTTAACCATTGAGCCACCAGGGATCCTTTCACACCTAAGCTTAGAGAACCTGACTCATTTATACCAGGCAGTTAGCCTAATTGATCTTTGTCACAAAGGAAGGAAATTATCTTTATTACTGTTAAGTGCTATTGAGTCAGTTTTGACCCATAGCAAACCTGTATAGGGTTTCTGAGGAGCAGCTGGTAGGTTTGAATAACCAGTTTTGTGGTTAGCAGTGTACTGCTTATCCTACGGCACCACACCAGGACTTCATCTTTATTATTATGCTGTTTTATGTTGTTAAGTGTCGTCAGATCGATTCTGACTCATAGCAACCCTGTTTCAGCGGAACAGCTAGTGGGTTTGAATAGCAGACCTTGTGGTTTGAAGTCCAGTGCTGATCCTACAGCACCAGACCAGGAGTCCATCATTTATACTACTTGTTATTATGAGCCTTTGAGTTGGTCCCAACTCATAACAAGCCTATATAGAATTTCCAAGGAGCAACTGGTGAGTTTGAACCAAATATCTTGTGGTTCAAACCAACCTTGTGATACAGTGGTTTATCCCACAGTTCCACATCAGGACAGTAAATAAATCTTCTCTTTGCTTTAGCAAGAGGTGTAACCTCTATTTCATAAAACTGTTTGCTATGAAATAGATATGTTGGAAAAAAGGGAGTCAGTTCCTTTATTCACCACTCATCTATGGAGTTTGTCATACTGTGGTGGTTTACATGTTACTGTGAGGCTGGAAGCTATGTCACTGGTATTGTAAATACAAGCAGGGTCACCCTCGGTGGACAGGTTTCAGATGAGCTTCCAGACTAAGACTGCCTAGGAAGAAGAAGAGGCAGACAACTTCTGAATGCTTAGCCACTAAAAACGTTATGAACAGTAGTGGATCGCTGCCAGATAGCACTAGAATATGAATGAAATACTACTTGTTCCTGTGCCATCTTCACAATTGTTGTTATACTGAGTCCATTGCTACTGCCACTGTGCCAGTCTATGTGATTGGGGGGGGGGGGGGGGCTTCCTCTTTTTTGCTAATTTTTGTACTTTTCTAAGCAAGATGTCCTTCTCCAGGGACTAGTTCTTCCTGATAACAATTCCAAAGTATGAGAGATGGAGTCTCACCATCCTGGCTTCTATGAGGCATTCTGGCTGTACTTATTCCAACACAGATTCATTTGTTCTTCTGGCATTCCTTGGTACATTCAATATTCTCCAATACCTTAACTCAACTGTATAAATTATTCTACAGTCTTCCTTATTCATTTCCAACTTGATGACCTTTTGCTTTCTTCCTGTGTGATGTGCTTGATGTCCTTCCACAACTCTTCTGGTGTTCAGTCATTAGTGTCTAAGCCATCAAAATGGTTCTTGAGATGGTCTCAACATTCAAGTGAGATATGTTCAGGGTTATATTTTGGCTCTCTGACCTTGTTTTAATTTTCTTCAGCTTCAGCTTGAACTTGATATGAGCAAATGATGATCTGTTCCACAGTTGGTCCATGGTCTTGTTTTGGCTGATGATATTGAATTTTTTCACCTTCACTTTACACATGTATAGCCAATTTGATTCCTGTATATTACATCTGGTGAGGTCCATGTGTATAGTCACCTTTTATGGTGTTTATAAAAGATATTTGCAATGAATAAATCATTGGTCTTTCAAAATTCTACCATGTGACCTCCAGCATAATTTCTATAACCAAAGTCCTATTTCCCAACTACTAATCCTTCCTCTTTGCTTCCAACTTTCACATTCCAACCACCAGCAATCATCAATACATCTTTATTGTATGTTAGATCAATATCAGACTGAAGAAGTTCTTCAATTTCATCATCACTGGCTTTAGTTGTAACAGTGCAAATTTGAATAACAGTGATATTAACTGGTCTTCCTTGTAAGCATATGGATTTTATCCTATTACAGACAGCATTGAACTTCAATATAAATCACGAAATGGTCTTTTTGATGATGAATGTTACTACATCCCCTTCAATTTGTCATTCCTTGAAGAGTAAATCTATGATTGTCAGTTCTGAAATGGTCATTTCAGTTCACTAATGTGAGTTGGGCTGCTAATTGCAAGGTCAGCAGTTCGAATCTACCAGTCACTCCAAGTAAGAAAGATGAGGCTTTCTGCTCCTATAAAGATTTACAGCCTTGTAAACCCTATCCAGGATCATTATGAGTTGGAATTGACTCCGTGCCACAAACCACTAACAACCAATGCCTAGGATTATAATTATATATCTTCATGCATTCCATTTGACTTTTTCTACTTCCAATTTCCCTAGATTCATACTTCATACATTCATTCCATGTTCCGACTATTAATGGTTGTTTGCAGCTATTTCTCCTCATTTTGAGCTGTGTCCCATCAGCATATGAAGGTCCCAAAAGCTTTACTTTTTTTTGTCATCACGGTCAATTCTATTTTTCAGAGGCAGCTTTTTCCCAGTAGTATTTTGTGTGCCTTCCAACCTGAGGGGCTCAACTTCCAGCACTATATCTGACAGTTTTCTGCTGCTCTTCATAAGGTT